TTAAGTAGATAATGACATCATAATAATAATAATGGCAAATACTTCGCTACTAGGGAGTGCCACCGACAATTATTCATCTCATCCAACAGCTGTACGACAATGCTGCATGCCAAGTAATCCACAACGGGAAACTTACGGAATCCTTCAAAGTGAGGACAGGAGTAAGACAAGGCTGCCTACTATCGCCAACGATTTTCCTGATTGCGGTATACTGGATAATGCAACCGACAGCAGGCAATGAGGAAACAGGCATAAAATGGACTCACACAAAGAACTTGGAGGATCTGGACTTTGCCGATGATATATGTCTGATTTCCCACAAACTGGAAGATATGCAAGCGAAAAGCAACAAGTTGGCAGAAGAAGCATCCAGAGAAGATAGGAGGGACTTCAGGTGAACATAGAGAAAAAAGAGGTGATGAAGATTCCTCGGCAACAGCAACAATAACAGACAACAATCAGCCAGCATAAATGGGAGGAACCTGAAAGAAACACCCCTTTTTTACCTACCTAGGAAGCATCCTTTCAAATACAGGCGGAACTGATGAGGATATCAAAGCAAGAATCGGAAAATCAAGACAAGCTTTCACTACTTTCAAGTCTGTGTGGACGTCAACAACAATCAACATCAAAAACCAAGATCCGGATTTTCAACTCCAATGTGAAGTCAGTCAGTGCTGCTATACGGATCAGAGACTTGCACTGCGCGTCATAAAGAGCATATCAAACAAACTACAGACCTTCATCAACAGTTGTCTTCACTCAATTCAGCTCAAGATCAAATGGCTGGCCAGAAAAGATCAGCAACAGAGCTGGATCTCTGGGAGCGAACCAACACAGCAGGAACCGATTGTGAAACAAATAGGCAGCAAGAAATGGAGATGGATTGGCTGACCACACTCTGAGGGAGCAAACCATCAAGTGACATCACTAGACAAGCCATCGTTCGAGTGGAACCCGAAAGGGAAGCGGCGAGTTGGTCGTCAATGCAAGGGTGACTTGGAGGAGGTCATGTGAAGAGGAGATGAAAACGTGTGGTCAGACCTGCAGCCAGGTGAAGACTCTAGCATAGAACCGAACGCAATGGAGACGCACGGCTGAAGCCCTATTTTCCCCTAGAAATTAAAGGAAACAATAATAATAATATATTTGTCCGAATGGAAAAAAAATGGTGTAATTTACAAGGGGACAACTGACAGATGAAGTTCCAATGATGAACCTGGAGACTTGAAAAACTTGCTTAATGGGAAAAATCTTCACAGAAAGATGTGACAAAAGAAAATAATGACCTCCGACAGCTTCTTTTTTGATGAACTTCTTCATTTCATTTATTTATTTCAAAACAAATTTGGTGCAAAAAACACTCATTTGACAGATAATACGACCTATCAAACTTCATTAGTGCCAAAAACAATGCAATCTGGTAAATATCTAGCAAGGACTATATATATGCCGAACTTTTTATCATTAATCATCCGCACTATGGCTGTCAAAACTCCCCAGACAAGTATATTGATCGATACCAGAAGTGAGTGCAGATCGCTTTTCTACACGTCTCAAACATTATATACTACAGGTACACCGACTACAACAACGTGAAATAAACTAGTCACAATAAAGTGGTTAATTAACTCTCTTTTTTATTCCTCAACGTTCCCAAGGGTACATAGGGGGCTTCAAGCTACATCTTTGAAGTTTCGTTAGTAGTGGCGTTTTATTTTTACGGGATGAGGTTGCTAGCCTCATGCCCCACCTTCCCTCTTTACCAGTCTTATTACTGACTTAGTGAGGTAAAGAAGTGCGTCCATGGCCGGGGATCGAACCTCGGGGCATTCTACTGCTGTGACACCCCGATGCGGTTAATTATCTTATAAAAAAACAATTAAACATTTGATAAAACTTACCAAAACAATGGAAGTAGATATCGTTGGCTGAAATCCGGGACTCGAGTGATAAGGTGAGCAGATGTTCGTGTATCTGAAGTCGAAATGAGCCAACACACAAATAAGAAATACCAAGTGAAGAACGTCTTACCATTAGGTTGAACTGAACTGGTTGATTTCTTATCCTCTTTTCCAGATTCCTTATATTTGTAGTAAAACAGACTGAATACTCTTTTACTGAATTTCAGCTTTCCACAAAAGTAAAGACGTCCACAATCTGTAAACTGGAATAGTATAATATATTCATTAGAAATAGTCTATAAAACTGTTTTAAATGAAATATTAAGGGAAGTCATATATATATATATATATATATATATATATATATATATATATCAGGAGTAATTGCTTCTCTAGAGCTGACTGTCATGTTTCGGTTATTATTATTATTGTTTCCTTTAATTTCTAGAGGAACATAGGGCTTCAGCCGTGCGTCTCCATTGCGTTCGGTTCTCTGCTAGAGTTTTCACCTGGCTGCAAGTCTGACCACACGTTTTCATCTCCTCTTCACATGACCTCCTCCAAGTCACCCTTGCATTGACGACCAACTCGCCGCTTCCCTTTCGGGTTCCACTCGAACGATGGCTTGTCTAGTGATGTCACTTGATGGTTTGCTCCCTCAGAGTGTGGTCAGCCAATCCATCTCCATTTCTTGCTGCCTATTTGTTTCACAATCGGTTCCTGCTGTGTTGGTTCGCTCCCAGAGATCTGATCTTTTCTGGCCATCTGGTCTTGAGCTGAATTGAGTGAAGACAACTGTTGATGACGATCTGTAGTTTGTTTGATATGCTCTTTATGACGCGCAATGCAAGTCTCTGATTCGTATAGTATAGTAATCATTGGCGATAGTAGGCAGACATCTTGTCTTACTCCCGTCTTCGCTTCCAAGGATTCCCTGAGTTTCCCGTTGTGGATTAATTGGAATGCAGCATTGTCGTACAGCTGTTGGATGAGACGCATAATTGACGGTCGCACACTGTAGTAGCGAATTAGTTGCCAAATCACCTCTCGATCGACGCTGTGGAAAGTCTTTTCAAAGTCAATGCAATTCAGATAGAGAGCTGACTGCCATTCCAAGCTCTTTTCAGTGGTGGTCTGTAGTGTTGCGATTCGATCGATGCATGACTTGTTTCTCCTGATTACAGTCTGTTCCAGCCGACGTTTTTCATCCAGGGTGTGTTCCTTTCTCTCCAGGATCATGCGACTTAGTATTTTGCTTGGGATGGACAGGAGCATAATTCCGCGACAGTTCTCACATTGACCTAAGTCTCCTCTCTTCACCAGTTTCAATAGGTATCCTTTCTTTCAATCCGCAGGTACCTTGCGTAATCTAGTTACTGCTTTAACAATGCTTTAGTGATTAATTCAAAATATCCCGCTTCTATTTCTTTTTCCATTCCGCCTTCATATCACAGTTTATAACAACCTTACAGTGAGAATTTAATGAGCATAAGAGCTGTTCATATTTTTCTTTCCATTGCAGTTTCTTTTTGTTTTTATTCCATTTCTTCCTCTACATTTTATGCCCCCTCCCAAGTGACTAACTGTGCTTTTTACCAATTCTTGTGTCTGCAACCTTGTCTGTTGTGGTGTTGTTACCAGAAAACATTACACTGAATACTACTTGCAAATTGGTGTCATTTAGTAGCATACACCGCAAGCCAAGTTAACAACCCCTTAGTAGCACGTCTAAGAGACAAAATATTGATGACAGGAAGTATTAAAATACTCACCGTGGATTCGAAGTAAACCAAAATACTTAAAGTACAAAACTAATTAACAAATGGAACACTTACAGATACAATGTCATCCTTTATTACCCAACTGATTAGAAGATTTTCCAGTTCTTGTGTGAAACTGGCCAATTAAAATATAACATAAAATCATATAGTAGTTACTCATCAGTTTGAAAAGAATCAAATATTACAAAATCTAAGCATAAATAAAATAAATATGCACAGATTGATGAAAACTAATCCTTTTTCAATGCCCACTTTTCTTTTACCGAACGAGATAAATCTCATTTTCGAAATAGAAAGGTGTTTAAGACTATCACTTTATAGGACTGACTGACTGGTTTCAACGCAGAACTTTGCACAGATGTACAGCAGTTCCAGTTGCCACGCACCATCTCTCTCCTTGTAGCACACAAAGCAAGATAAGAGATCGAAAAAGACATTCAAAAGAGAGATAATAAATAGAAGTATCAGTGAGGGAAAAAGAATAGTAATATATGGAAGCACAGTAGATTTTTATTGGATATGATAAATAAACCACAAAGAGTAAATGCATCTGCACTGTGCATTCAGAACGAGGATTTCGAGCCATATCACCAATTGTCTCCAGCCTTCATTGGTTTTTACCATCCCGAGGAACCCAACTAGTCAGGAAGTATGCACCTTTCTACGTGGCTTAAATTAGCTAGTATGGATTTCATTGACTGGTGAAGCCATGTTTCGGTTTGACCACCATTGGCTAGCTGTTTACCAACCTGATCAATCCTATGTCAGCTAACATTGCCCGTCGATTGAGGAAGGAGATGGCTAGGCATGCGTAACACATGTCCTAACCATCTCAATCGGTGTAACTTCACAATCTCATCGACTGATTTCCTCCCATCACCTAGCACTCGAAGGAGGCCTAATCTCAATATAGCTCACTCTATTATACCACTTCGCTTAGGAAATAGGACGCAGACACCTATGACCAAAGACAGCTAGCCTTTTTCTTTCTTCCACTTCCAATAGCCTTGTCTCACAGACATAAAGGAGGACGGAGCGAACTGTGCTGCTGAGGATTACACAAGGCGGTCAGTCGACAGCCAGCCGGATATCACGTCTGCTAGACCAGAGGTGGCGTAAGTTGGCATTTGCGAAACGAGCCGTCTGTATCCGTATCCGTGCTGAGATTTCGCCAGCGATCAACCAGTTGGCGTTGGCTGATGCAACTCCCCAAATAAGTCAAGTGGTCAACACGCTCCACAAACAAACTTCACTCCCTATTTCTAAACTAGGAGTCAGTGTAGTCCAGTCAGTCCTGTAGCATCATCTTACATTTGACAGCACGAGTGAATCTTGCATGCCAAACATTCGCAGATTGCAGCTCCTCAAGGTGTTCAGAAGGCTCTGCATTTTGTCAGCGTCTTCACCTGGGAGGAGGAGGACTATATCATCTGAATATTCCAAGTCAACGACATCATTCCTTCCCTGGTAACAAGTAGATCCCTGAGTCGCTGATTTCTTTTAGTTAATAACTTGTATCCAGTGGTTACATCACTTCAATGCCAATCTATCTAATAAATATAACCAACCATATATCCTACTTAAAGTAGATAGAGTAGAAATACCTCAAAATACTTAAATGTTATGATACTACGACATGCTAACTTACACTTCCCAGTCTGTTACAGCTGTATAGTCTTCAAACGTTTCTCCACTTCTTTCCTACGAAAAAGGACAGTGAATATTTTAGATGAAACATTTCAGGCTTTAAAATAAGAAGTTCAGTGTATTGTCTTTATTTGAAAATTTACCATCAATGAAAACTTACTGTAAATGTACATTTACTCATCGATTCAGTCATATTCTCATCTCTGTTTGTTTTTCACAGATAAATTCTGTAAATCAAAAAAGAATTGAAAAACTCGATTAAACACAAGTTACTAATGGATGTAACAGACACACAGTATTAACGTGCTTTACAATGCATAAACGAATTCTATCCTACAGGTTATCTGTAACACAAAGCAAAATGAGGGGAGACTAAAAACTTAAAAAATATTCTTGATTTCAGTTTCACAGCTCTTTTGAGGCAGTTTTGTTTTAAAAAGGAGGAGGTTATGGAAACGGGTCAAGTTGACTGGGCCTTTTCTGTATATCAAACCACTTTCGTGAAATGTGTGATGACACCCAACGTGAAAGAAAAGGAATGAGCTATGCTAAGGTGGAACACCAATCCAATCGTTGTTAAAAGTGACTGTGTGTTTCACAATTCACGCAACATTACTACAATCCTAATAGTGTTGTTGTACATGAGTGATTGTAAGCTTACAGTGACACGTCATGACAAAATAAATCATTATGGCACCACTATACTTCCATTGTTCTCAATATTTTCTAAATGTATCATGTATCCGTTTCTTATTCTGATCATATTATTCGCTTAACGTACTTTTAGCTGTTATTTCTTCGGCGGACTTTAATGCCGAGGTGACCGCGGTTTTATTTTACCTTCAGTCATCAATCATCAGATCAGTGCGAATCGGTCAGTCCGCGGTTATGTAAGATAGTCTCACTAGCAAACACACAAAACACTGATCACTTCAAAAACGATCAATATTTCCATTTGACACACTTGATAGTCTCACTATAGAGGAAAATCAACCCCGTGTGTAATTATTTTAGGCTGTAGTCAGAGAAATAAAAAGTACTTCTAAAGAACAAATAAGCGGATACCTATGGGACAACAGCTGCTTGCCTTACAAAGCAACTTCTCTATTAGTTATAAACACGTTGACATCGTAACGAATAATTGACACGATATGTTTCGCATTGTTTACTACATCACTGAATGCTGTCAGTGCAACTACTTTTAGTGAGGCTTTCATCTACTTGTATCTACTGTTGTGCCAACGGAATCTTGAAAAATACCTCAGGTTTAAAAAAGTGTGAGGACCTCTCGACAGTGAAGTAACTCAATGGATTTCTGCGTTACTCTCTCAGATTTGGCGAAGCCAAAACCAAAAAAAATGAATTGGCAGAAGTTAATATTCATGGGTTGTTGGATCGGGTCCCAGTGGCTTAATGGTCTACGAACTCGCCTTGAAACCAGAAGGTCCTCAGTTCGGTCCTATGGTGAATGCGTACTGATGAAGAGTCCCAATCTAGGACAATGGAACAGGACAGCTATCCAGTACTCCCAGGTTTTCAATGGTTCTCTAAATGATATCAACTGATCAATAAATCCTCTAGCCAATCAAAAAAACAGAATAAGTTTCTCACTGCCATAGGATTGCAACGAAAATGAGGTTGATTGTGATGCACAAAAAGACGATACCCAAATACAACCACTCTTTATCCCAAGACACCACGTCACGGACAGATCATCTCTCCGCTTTTCGCAACCAATTATAGGGCTACAAAATGTTACGCAAGCCGTTGTGATGGCAGTTGTAAGATATATCTAAGCCAATGAAATCGGAAGCCCTAGGTGAGAATACTTAAAGTAAGGAGACCTCTACCTTAAGGTTATTCACTTGGCGTCGCCATCTTACAGGTGTGGATAGTAAGACGTGAGTAGTTACTGCAGAACCTTAGGCCGGATTGAACAGGTTTTACAATAAGAGAAAATAAGAGTATGTTGTGAGACGCTTTATAGACCAAGTCCACCTAATATGCTTTGTGTACGACTCCCACAATAATGACAACCTTCTCAGGAACACTCAACTCTGCCAAACAGTTCTAAAAAGAAGTTTTGTGCAAAGAATAAAAGCTAACCCTTGTATCAAGAAATAATGATTGTCCCTGCGCTCGAAATGTGTGCGTCGGTGGCGTAGTGGTTAGGACTCTCGCCGACCATGCACATGGTCCAGGGTTCGATCGCCTGCCGACGCACACATGATATCTATGGTCGGCCTGCAAAATTTGGGTTACCGATATCACATGCTGAAAATTCCGTACCTGTACCGAAAATCAAGCTGTAATCAAAAAATCAAAATAAAAAAATAATATGAAAAAGAGAAGACATTCAGCGAAGAGACTCTTTTCGGCGAATTCATTCACATAGCTGTACAATCGCATTTATATATAAATATTTGTGTGTGTGTGTGTGTGTACATGAGGTTTGTCAAGTTTAGATAATTGATTAGTTAATACAAGAATGATGTAGTATAGAGACAAAGTTAATCAGACAGCAACTAAAGTAAGACTGAGTTAAAAAAAAAAACAACTAGATGACGTAATATAATTGGCTAAAATGTTACAACTTAGGTCAGGATAGCAACAGAGGTAATTACAGGTAGAGATTAAGTAGAAGTGAAATTGAGTGAATAAGTTGGATGACGTAACATGAATGACTAGAAACTGAGCGTTGTTCAGGTCAGTAACAGTGGTAGTGGGGTGTAGAGATTGAATCGGGTGGGGGTAGAGAACAAGAAAGTTGAAATTGTAAAATGTTACAATTGAGAAAGCAAAATAATACTAATGAAGAGACAGAAGAAAAGATTAGGTAGAATTTACATGTCGGCTAATAAGATAGATTACGTCCATTGCAAGTGTAGTGATTGAACGAACTTCTTCTGTATGCAGAGTTCAGGACTTAGCAAGTGGATCGCCATTGCTTCTGCAGTTTGAAGAAGTCTGATTCGTACACCTTTAGGGAGACTACTTCTTACTCTGTAGACGACTTTGAAGTTTGTTTGCGGTGTAGCTTGGTGTCCGGATTCGATCAGATGTTCTAAGATGGAACTGCGGGGGCATCGATTTTCTCCTTTATAAAACCATGCTGGTAAGTGCTCGGTGATACGTTTGGAAAGCGAGCGCTGGGTACGGCCAACATACCTGGCTCCACACGAGCAGGTGAATTGATAAATGCACATTGATGAGGCCAGCAGCGGTAGCTTATCCTTCACGTTCACATGAATCATAGGTTTTGTGGAGAAGGTTAGTCGTAGTTCAGCTGCGAAGAAAGTCTTCTTAAGTGAACGCGACAGTCGATTTTTCAGTGTTTCCGCAGATAGATCTCCATTGAATTGGAGGTTCATGTAGAGTAGTTTTTTCTTGACGCTAAGTATGGGCTGCTTTTCTGGTCTAGGATTCATAGATTTCACAATAAATCTTTCTGGATAGCAGTTCTCGACGAGGATTCTCTTGAGGTTGTCCAGTTCATCTTCTATGGTGTCCGGGGTGCAGATTCTGCGAACTCTGTAGCTGAGTGAACGGATCAGGTTTCGTTTGGTGTATAGTGGTACCCAACTGTGAAAGTTAGTAAGCTGTCCGTTCCACGTCGATTTTCTGTGGATAGATCTTCTCAGTGTTCCATCCTGTTCTCTTCTGGTTAGTTGGACGTCAAGAAAAGATATTGTGGAGTTGGACTCTTTCTCCATCGTGAACTGAATTGCAGGGTGGCAGTTGTTAAACGACTTTAAGATGTCGTCTAGATTTTCTTCGTTGTTGACGATAATGAAGGTGTCGTCGACGTATCTTTTATAGATTTCGAAGGTGTTGATCATTTTCTTCAGGCATGTGTTTTCCAGTTTTGCCATGAAGAAATCTGCAAGCAAAGGGCCTAGTGGTGAGCCCATAGCTATACCATCCTTTTGGCGATATATTTCGTTGTTGAAAGAGAATTGAACATTCAGGGTACACCTCAGTAGGAGTTCTTTAAGATGCTCGGTGGGTATACCGATGTTTATTCCTTTGGAGTGAATAAGTTCGCATATATAGCATATTGTTTCAGTCAGTGGAACGTTTGTGAATAGTGATGTGACATCTAATGAAATCATTGTCTTGTTGGATACGTTAATGTTTTCGATTGAGTCAATAAAGTCGAATGAATCTCGAACTGTGTGGCAGGAAACTTGTTTTCTGATTGGTTCAAGTAGATCTGCTAACCATTGAGCTGTGCGGTGATAGGGTGAATTGGTCATGTCGAGGATCGGTCGAAGAGGGATATCCTTCTTGTGTACTTTCGGGAGTCCGTAAAGTCGTGGTATATTTGAGCCAGACGGTCTAAGGGATTCAAACATTTCGTTGCTGATGAAGGATTCAGTCTTCAACTTACGAAGGGTGTCCGTTAGCTTTTGTTCGGTTTGTTCAGTCATGTTTTTCTCATTGATCGGTTTTGTGAATTTGCATTCATCGGATAGTATAGTCAGCATTTTACTGATATAGTCCTTGCGATTCATGATTACGATTCCTCCGCCTTTATCAGGACGTAATATCATAATCTCTTCGTTTTTCATAAGTTCTTTCAGCTCCAAGCTACACCGCAAACAAACTTCAAAGTCGTCTACAGAGTAAGAAGTAGTCTCCCTAAAGGTGTACGAATCAGACTTCTTCAAACTGCAGAAGCAATGGCGATCCACTTGCTAAGTCCTGAACTCTGCATACAGAAGAAGTTCGTTCAATCACTACACTTGCAATGGACGTAATCTATCTTATTAGCCGACATGTAAATTCTACCTAATCTTTTCTTCTGTCTCTTCATTAGTATTATTTTGCTTTCTCAATTGTAACATTTTACAATTTCAACTTTCTTGTTCTCTACCCCCACCCGATTCAATCTCTACACCCCACTACCACTGTTACTGACCTGAACAACGCTCAGTTTCTAGTCATTCATGTTACGTCATCCAACTTATTCACTCAATTTCACTTCTACTTAATCTCTACCTGTAATTACCTCTGTTGCTATCCTGACCTAAGTTGTAACATTTTAGCCAATTATATTACGTCATCTAGTTGTTTTTTTTTTAACTCAGTCTTACTTTAGTTGCTGTCTGATTAACTTTGTCTCTATACTACATCATTCTTGTATTAACTAATCAATTATCTAAACTTGACAAACCTCATGTACACACACAC